AACTGGGCATCCGCTCATATCTGTTGCCAAGGTTTGATAATTTAAGTAGATCTATTCATTTAAGAGTTCCTAGAATACTACTAAATGCCTTTCATAAAATTTTACTAAGATTTGTTTGGGGTAATAAAACATCAAGGATCTCGGTTAAAAATATGTCTTGGAGATTCGATGAAGGGGGAATGTTATTGATATTGGCTGATGCTATTATATTCACACACTGTCTAGCTTGGGTAATCAATTATTCATCAGAGCCATGATTTGCATATGAAAAAGTCTGTTTTAACAATAGAGGCCCTTAGTTATTATATTGGCTGGAACAAAAAAAAATTAACGAAAATTAATGAATATTAATAATAAAATAATATTGACATACTCTGTTCAATAATATCAATGCGAAATAAAGTGCATTTTAGGCATATGACCCCCATACACCCCTATAGAGGCTTGACCTCTACATTGTGGATATAAAATTGATCGATTGGAAAGATTACAGAATTGCTTATTTGGGTGATCAGCTGGAAAGTACCAATTTACTTTAAAGTAAATAATCTCTTAAAATAAAAAAAAATTCTTGAATGTTTTTTAAATAAGTTTTTACATATAACAGAGAAAAACCACCTATTATCTAATTTAAACAATATAATTTACTGTAGCGGACCATGGGTTACCTCCGCTATTACCTTCCTTCAGCCACTCTGGAACCATCAACACAAGTAAATCCCCATTCCCCCAGTAACCAGACCAAACATAGTCCTGGGAGTCAATTGAGTTTATTGTCACACGACTTTAATGCTCAGTCACTGTGATGAAGTGCCCTCCGCCACTTGTTCTTGGAGAGGCGTGCTTGCCAGCCTCTTGCCTTGTGACTATGGCCCCTGTTAGATATTGCCAGTTAAAACCACTTTTTGGGCTTATTGGCTTTTACAAGACTGTTTCTGGCCCTTTAAATCCTTTTTGCTAAGGAGCTGCACTTTTGAACTGGCACTTCGGATACAGCCGAAGTGCCGAAGTAGTCAAAGTGGCCGCCATTCGACAAACGAACACGTGGCGGCGGCCATTTTAATTCATTCGAACGCGTTCAGCTGTGTTTGGTCATCGATTTCATGGAACTGAAATTGGATCCGTGACGGCACAAACACCGCTGAACTTCTACCTTCTATGTGACTTTGACACTTTGACAGTAGTCAAACAGTGTTCGACTATACAAACGCCACATTAAGATGACCTATTTGCACGAACGGCCGCCGTTCGTGCATGCGAACAGTATTTAACTATGTGAATAGACCAGCCGCACAGCCCAAATCTGTGGAACTGTTTTGGGCATGAAAATGTGCGTGCGGTCGGTCAAATGAGACTTCCAGCTAACCCCCGAACGGCTGAACGGATTTGCATGAATTTTGGATATGTTGTTCCCATAATTATGATGTTTCTGAAAATGCGATGTTTTATGTAAATGCGATGAATAATGTTAAAGTTATAGAAATTGTGTAAAAAAGTGTATTTTTCACTTGGAGATAATTGAGCTGATACAGTAATTAGCCCAATTATTTCCCAAGCAGAGGGGAGGAATTTACTGTAATGAATGGGAGTGTTTAACTGTGTGTCTGTATATGATTGGTTGTTACGTTGGTGTTTTCAGTGCCCAACAAGGTCCACCAGGTGGGAGACCTGCATAAATACTGGGCAGGTAGCCCTCATTAAACAGACCACTGCTTGACCCTCAACACGGAGCCTTGTCTCGTCTTTGGGGGGATTTACTGTATGATTGCCAGGAGTGTAAGCCGCTTGGGTGCTTTTCCTGTTCGTCTGTTAGCAGCTATTCGTGAGGTTCCAGTTTGAGTGTTTGGAGCATTCCCTTGTATGCAGTTCGGGTGTTTGGTGCATTCACTTGTATTCAATTCGTGAGTTTTGGTGATTCTACAGTAGCTGTGCCTGTCTCTGAAAGGGGATTATCGTCTAAGCGGTTTTTACCCCTTTTGTGCAAAACAGTCCATTACACCCCCCTCCCAAAGATTTTTTATAAACCCCTACCACCCTCACCCTAAAAATAGTGAGGGGGGAACAATAACTAAGTACCAGTAAAACAAAAAGAAATAAGACTTACCATTCGATGTTTTCTTTTTTCTAAAATCTTATGTTTTCAGCCCCCAAAAAGGCCAAATAAAAAACCATAATACCCGTCACACTTTAAAAAAAAAAAATCAGACAAAAAAACCCTGACGCTGAAAAAATAATCCTTCTTCACTCATAGATGGCACCGCACAGACTGAGCTCCGCAAGGCGGGGGAAAGCTTGTAAAGCTGGTTTAAGCCATCCAATCAGAGTGCTCTGACAGGTAAATGAAGAGACTGACAGGTAAGTCTCTACATTTACCTGTCACAGCACTCTGATTGGTTGGTTTGAAATCCACCAATCAGAGTGCACTGTGTCATTTTACACAGTGTGGGAAAGTTCTTTGGAATTTTCCCACGCTGTGTAATTTGACTCATAACTCTCTGATTGGTTGCTTTTATAAGCCTTCCCCAGCCCTGCGGAGCTCAGTCTGCGTGGTGCCCTTCATGGTTGGAGATGGATTATTTTTTCAGCGAGACGGATATTTTTTTTAAGTGAGACGGATATTATGGGGGTTTTTTTGGCCTTTTTTGGGTCTGAAAAAAGAAGATTTTAGAAAAAAGAAGACAGCAAATGGTAAGTTTTATTTCCGCCGCTCAGGGGTGGGGCCGGGGGGGAGGACAATAGGTCCCCCCCCTTATGTTACTTAGGCCCCCCACCCCATTACTTTGAAGTAATTTAGGGCCCCCACACCACCCAATAGATCCCCCCCGCCTTATTCTTCTTTAGGACCTCAGGGGTGGGGGCCGGGGGGGACAATAAGTCCCCCCATCAGTTTAAAAGCCCCTTCTCGCGCGGCACGGGTGGGGGCTCGGGAGGGGGGACACTTGGTTTTTGTTTTTTTTAATAGTGAGCAGCCACAGGTATGCCCCTACTTCTGGTATAATGAGTAGGGGCAAAATGTACGGAATTTTTTACTTATTAGCAAATTTGCCTGAAAGACCAATTTAGGTCTTTCAGCCTTTTGGTAGATAGCTCCCTAATATTGTGGGAATTAGAGAGTTATCTACTTACTCATTCCCATCCATCCATAACTTACATTTTATATGAATGTGTTACTTCATTGTTGTAAGTGTTGCAAATGCTTACAGCTGAATCCTGGCTGTTTGTATACTTTTTATTTAAACTTGTATACAGTGTAACATTCTTCATTCTTCAGCAATTCTGTGCTTTGGAACTTCGACACTTCGGAACTTCTGCAACTTCAGCAATTCGGCAATTCAGCTATTCTGATGTTTGGAAGTATTTGAATGTCCGAATTGCCAGAAATTCGTCCAAATTGATATTCGGAACGAAACGTTGTCTATGTCTAAGTAATATAAGCGTCCCCACCATACTCAGGAACCCCACAAAAAGTACATCCCTCGATAGCCTCGATCTGAGTGTATAATATATCCAAGAATCACTCAGATAGGTTGGGTGAAACGGGAATGCCATTGAGGTAAAGTTTTGACCGGCCAGAAACGAAGTGCTAGCCCAGAACAGTTCGATGAAAATAGGTGTTCTGGCCGGTTTGTGAGGTTCATGAGGTTCCTGTGTGAATACCAAGCAAGGAAATCGTTTCATTTCAGGATAGGAATGCTCCCCCTGGTCGGTAGTAAATATCTGCTGAACGTCCTTCGTGCAGGTGGTCGGGAAAAAGAACGGGCAGTGGTCTAATTTTACCGGGGTTCTCACGAGTGCCTAGCTGAGAAGAGTTCCAGGCACTTGACGACCAAGTACCGCTGCCCACGTTTAAATCCATCCAATCACAGTGCTCTGTGTCATTTTACACAGCGTGGGAAAATTGAACTTTCCCACGCTGTGTAAAATGACACAGAGCACTGTGATTGGATGGCTTGAAATCCTTTATTGTTAATTTTAGGGCCCCCACCCGACGCTCAGGGGAGGGGGCCGGGGGGGACAGTAGGTCCCCCCTTATTGTTATTTTTAGGGCCCCCACCCACCGCTCAGGGTTGGGGGCCGGGGGGGGGGACAGTAGGTCCCCCCTTATTGTTATTTTTAGGGCCCCTACCCACCGCTCAGGGGTGGGTGCCAGGGGGAGGACAATAGGTCCCCCCCCCTATTAGCCACAGGCTGCTCACTGTTTAATAGACATGCCCCTACTCACGGTATTGCGAGTAAGGGCACAATTTACTAATACTAAGTAATTTTTACTTAGTATTAGTAAACTAATAGGGGGCGGACCAAACATCGCATATGTTCGCCATCCGTGGCGAACGCGAACACGCTATGTTCGCCTGGAACTATTCGCTAGCGAACCGTTCGGGACATCACTAGTCACCTGGACTGTGAATCTGTGCACGGGGGCTGTGCAGGATAAAGTTCCAAGTCGCAGTACAGGCAAGGACACAAACAGCAGGATAGTCGAGGGATAGCCAAAAGTCAAAGGATGCCAGAGGTCAGGATCAACGAAGAG